AGTGAGGGGAGAAATCCCATAACTCGGTCGAGTGGAACCACCTGGCGATAAACTTGCCGTCCTCTACCTGCACTTGTGTCGTATGTATGCCTCGCACAGTTGGGTTGCCTCATGTCCACGGTTAAAAGTTAGGTAAGGTTGCAAAGGCACCTTGATGATTCCCTAACGGGACTTACCTGTTGTAGTCCAAAATTTTTTCCACAGTAAAACAGTACCGTGTCTTTCCTCCTTTTACAATAGTGTCTGCGTATGTTATTTTAGTTTTTCAAAATTTCTTATTTAATTTTGTTCTTTTAGTCGGCCTGTTATGTGTTGCCGAGCTTGACTTTGTTGCGCACAGAAGGAACACGGAATAAGAAGACAAAGGATACCATAATAGCGATTTCTGGATTTTCAGTAGTCAGCAGTCAGTCTTTCCTCAATCGTCGGTTAGAATAAACTGAAATTTAAAGTCGGAAATTGGGATTATTCAGAAGTGGACTACGGGTGCGCTCTCCTGTTAGAGTGGATTGGAAGGGCTGATATGAATGTGTAGCCCCATCTATCTGATTCTTATAGAGTATAAATTCGTTTCTTTCTGCCTTGCGAGAGAACTAATTCGTTTGCGGAGAGGCTTTGTTGAAATCGATTTTGGTGCTAGCTTCACAGAAGACTCCACACAACGATGACACTAGTTTTCTTGATCTTTAGGGTTTAAAGGGGTGTGATCCGGTAAAGTTACCCAACATTCTCTCTGGTTTGCGCAGATTGGGACAAGATGTCCGATCGACTACTGTGCCCAATCACATTTCGAGTTGTTTTGACTCTGTCTTGGCATTGGAAGGCACTGCGAGAAGTTGGGAGGCAGCGAGATCAGTGCTGCGTATAGCTTTCTTCTCGTAGCGAAACCCGCCTGTGACTCCCATCCACCCAGAAAGTAGTAGCTTTCGTCAGAACCAGCGCACGATCTATCGTTAAATCACTGCTAATCAGCTGATTAGTGTTAAGTATCAAAGCTAAATCTGGCCTAGATCAAACACGAAGGGGGAAAATGGTGAAAAATAATAACAAACACAAAAAGCAATACTTTTTGATTGTTCGTTTGCAATTAAAATTGCGCGCAAGTCTTAGGTCAGGAGATAGATAGCCTGGTTGTCTACACTGGCTTTTTAATTGTAACTGTTGAGCACAAAAACAAGGTTTCCCCGCACGGAAATACTCACCTTTGTCTTGTGCCACTTTCTTCTGCTGATTTTATAGGGACTTTTGATAGGATCAATATCCCGTTTGCTGACATAAGTTAAAATAGTCGCATGCGGAGAGACTGGCTCTTGTATGACGCACTACATTATAGTTGCAGGCCTTATAAGAGTCGTACCTCCTTAGGGCGATAAACAGAAGCGTTATCGTGCAGAGTTATGGCATCGATTCTGCGTCTGCGAGCACCGGCGTAGCCGAATACATCCTTCGATACGACAGTTCGACCGTCGATTGCGACTTTTTCCACCAAAAGCTTTAGCAAGCTGAAGACAGACGCGGTGACTCACGCGAGAATATAGTGAGAGTGTGCTCTTGCAGAATCTACTCCACTCCCTCACGACTTCAAAAACCCTCCTAATAATTAAGTGTGCCTGGTAGTCATTCTGCTGCATGCTAGGTGATTGCTAAGGAAATCCTGCCTGGGCACTCAGCTTACTGTCTACATGTTGGTGGATTCCATACGTGCAGTAGGCTGGGCGGGTAAATCGACCTAGGTGCGATTAAATTCACGGCTTTCGGCGTGCCTTCAAGGTTCAAGTGTTACAGCGTTGGGTGTGCTAAATCCTTTCCTGCTGGTGTGGGTTCGAATCCCACCGAAGCCACGAATATTTATAGTTGGGTCAATTGATATCCCTCTGTTACAAAGGTGTCTTAATGCTAATGAAAGCACTGACGTAGCAACTAGCCCCCAGAAAACGTGTTTCGTTTGTTTGACATTTCGGGCTTGTTTTGAAAATAATCAGAAGACCCTGACAGCAGACTGCCGACAATATTTCCGCTCATTCGGCCATTGGTTCGTCTTCTTTGGCGGTCAAATCTATCATTTTTGCCATTGCACAGCCAAGAATCAGGCTGATTTCATTGAGCAAATAAGACTCTACAGAACCCGGGACACCAATTATACACTCTATTATTTAATAATTCATATAAAGGATAGAACAGATCAGTCGTGTGGAGGTGGGGCTTTTTTTGTCCTATTTCATCACGATCAAAAGCGGTGGGTTAAGGGTGCAAACTGTTCGTGAAAACTGGACTTTGACGAAATCTTAAACTTTCTATCTTATCTTTTTTTCTAACTTTTCCTCCCTCTCTCTCTCTCTGTTTACTATGAAGGTTGACGACAAGGATGTTTCCTCTCTGGGCCAGGCACAAACCGTGGCGTTGCTGCGCGAGAAGCCGGTTGGGAGTGTCGTCAGTCTTGTGGTTGCAAGTCCCGCCTGTCCGGACCCAATGGATGCTTCCCAGTCCCAGTCTCACTCCTCCAACTCCGAACCTCTCAGCCCAAAGGCCTCCTCCGCTAGCTCGGTTAGTGCTTTCAACATCAAAAGCACCTCATGAGTAGCGTAGTGCCTGTTCTTGAAACTTAAGATTGTGGACTTCTACATCTAAAGCACTCCTCAGATCAATTTTTAAGCTGAAAAAATATAATCTTTTGCGAAAAACGCACGAATAATAAATCCTGTGTTGCCCATTTCAAAACTACACAGCTTGGCCGTAAACATATATGAAAAGTTGAGATGCATCCATTTTCGAGAGGATCTTCACTGGTAATTCTAGGTACAGTTCGCGACTAATCTCATGACATTCTAACCAAAATTCCGAACTGCCTATTCGATTGGGAGGGGGTTACTTAATTGGGGTTGTTATGACGGCAAAGGTGCGATCTTTGGACCACGAAGTTCCAAATTCTCGTCTGAACCCACGGGGACGGTTGCCAATAAACTTCTTGTTCTAGCGATCGCACCTTCTCCCTCCGAACTGCTTCCTGGAAATCACCTAGGGCTTTTCATGTTGAATATCTTGTAGTATTATCCCAAGAAATTTCAGGCACGTCAGGATGCCAACTTTTGAATGCTCATCTTTTCACCTGCCTCTGTAAACCACCTTCAGTAAATAAAAAGAATGACTGCGCAAGTAGTATGCATTTTTCCATCGATTTTAATGCTTTTAGAAATTCCTCTACATAGTAGAGAAAAAGTAGGCAAAAAGACGGAAGACGAACATTACTATTTGAAAGGTAATTCAAAATAACGATTGAATTGTGTATAAAGAAGCATTCTTGGTATTCATATAATTCACATAAACAACTTGTATTTATTAAAGCAACTTTTCCGATGTGCAAATTTGAAGATGGCAAAAACAGCAGAATTTATTAGATTCATGAAATTTCGGAAGTGCTCTTCAGCTGCTACCTCTCATCGCTTATTGTGAGTAACGAATGAGAAAATACAAAATTGAATTCGTACAGAAAGATCAATAGGGTCATAGGGCATGGTCACGAAGACCAATTACTAAAGTAAACGAGTTAAAACAATTTGGAAAGAAAAACAGAGGAAAAAAGCGATAAAGCGAAAAGGTGACCAGGGACTGTGTAAATCAGGGAGTCGGATGTTACCAAGGCAAAGTTAGGTTAACCACATGCTCCAACTGTTTAAATAGGTCAGGTTTTGACCTATGAATCCAATACATTCTGCTGATTTGGCATCTTCAATTTTTTTTCAAGTTGAGTGTTGCATATGGTCTGCCTAAAAAATTCGGACCAATGTTATTAGCCGTATATTGCAAGCTTTCTTTGCGGCGCCGTCCTTTTGAGTTTTGTTGGCTGTCTTGGACAAAGCGCAAGGATGTATTCCTTACGCGCACATCGTTGGGCAATTTTAGAAATTTAAAAAGCGAATAGCCCGCAAAACCAGATTTATTTTTCTGCCAATTTTTTGACACCTTGGTCAGCTTACCGGGCCAGCGCACAGACATCGGCCTGAGCAACAATAATCCGGTGTCTGGAGAAGTATTTTCTAAGTTACTCTCTCTAAACTTTCACAGCCCGCTAGTGGAGACCTAGGATAGAGATCGAGAGTCCGACCGTCGATCTGGACAATGTCCACCGTCTGCCCAGCATATCATGATTGGCGCAGGCACGGTGACTTGCGCTTATAAAAGTAGTTTGTAGTGGTAGGTTGACTGATGTTGTTTTGATGCCTAGAAGTTTTAGTGGACTTTCGTAACATCTACTGCACTCTCTTCTCTTTCACTCATGTCGGTCCTTTGCCAAGATAGAGTAAAGAAGACCAGAAATGTGATCAGGTGCAGGTGATTAGAGCGGTAGGAGTCCGCGTCTAGACGTGTTACCATGTCACCGTGCCTCCCCCCTCCCGTGCTTCCCGAATAACGCATCTACCGCGTGACCCGTCGTAGAGGCAAACTAAGTGTGCCTTGTCAGCTATCCGGAACTCGGCATTCGTATGAAAGAAAAATGCATTTTCATAACAGATACTACAACTATACTCGGAAAGCGGAAAAAACAATGGCTGACCTGCTTATACGAGCAAAAGTGCACAATTCAGAGGTCTGACCCGAATTGTCAGTCCACAACGCACTTTGGAGAAACTGGTCGCACTTTTGACTTTCAATGTGTTATCATCCTAGACTGAGGTAACTTCGAAAACTGAGTAATTCACTCTAAAGGTGGTTTGTCTGACTTCGGCCCAATCAACAAGCAAATTGACCTTCGTCCGACTTATCAAGCTCGGAGCCATTACCTATACAACCACCAGGACAAAATGGAGCTGCTTCCACGTTCTATTCCAAAGAATGGAAACACATTGAAGCACGCCAACTGACAAAAGAGCTGAACGACAGTAACTGCGTGACCACTTCCAGGCTAATAGATACCTAACTATTTTATCAAACAAAACAGGCGCCGATTGAACATACAATGGTCCAAGAGAACAGCATCACGAACACTGGTGGACCATTATCTACATAAACGTAGTCTACGACCATTGCAGTCCGATGGAGGAGGCATTATTTGCCTTTACCCCGTTATCCAACCTTACACCCGATTTCTCCTACCGAAACCTCAGCATTTTTGTACCCAAAAAGGTTGCAGTGGCAGGGACTGCAACTACGTCGGGGGAATGCCAAACATTGCAGACCCACCCACATGTACATCAGCACAGACTTGTGACTCAGAAACTAGGCCCATATTGGAGACAGTAGCCGTATATTTGCCAGACTGAGGCACCTCTAAAGTAGACGGACTCAAATTTTTAGGCATGTTATTCACCTATCAACTGCATAGACAGACATCTAGAGCTTCCTGTGGCTTATACAGTTCTGTGCCATTAGATGCATAAAGACCACGGCAAGATGATCGCACTGAAAGTAAGAAATCCGGGCAGATAGAGGCCGCGACGAACTCACTCGGAGAGGCCACAGAGTTACAAGCACCCCCCAGCATAACGCCATCAGTCACGAAGCTCTACATACATCTGTCAACAGATTCGGAGGCCAAAAGAACAGGAATCGTATCAATCACTCCAAGGCTGCATAGCTTGGCTAGCCAGTTATGGTTCCGATCGATATTCGATAGTAAATACTTTAAATTAACCCAATTGGGAAAAATTCGGTGGCCTCGATGGGATTTGAATCCACGTCAGCAAGGCAAGAAAAGGCTTGCGTATTGTCAAAGCCCTAACCAACTGAGCCGTGAACTTAATCACACTTCAGTTTGAAAACTGAGAGCCGACCAAGCTTTCCAAAACGTCAGCAGTAGGCCTCATCTGTTCCGCTGAATAACGCCAGTTTTTCAGATTTTATGAAAATCAGTCGGACGTTACTCGACAACGACTTTGCCTGCTGAGGAAACGGAGGCCATAACAGACCAAACATCAATCGGGTCATACTTAAGAACTAGAGGGAGGGTAATGGTGGACACCAATTCTCTATTGAAAGTTAACTTTCTCACGTATTTTGGACAAAGGCAGTCTTTTACAACATGACCCTCACAACCAGTTTCGTTAGTATTTTGTTATCCACAATCTGTTTGTCCTGAGTCACTGTGCAGAGATGCATTTCTTTTTTATTAATGTTGTCGTGTGTACCGACTGCATTCTAAATGTTTGCAGCCTTATTTATGATGTCAACATGCGAACTTGTTTTACATAAATAGGGTCATCAAGAGCTCTGCCTGGAAGTATAAATACACTAGAAACACAAAAAGACGCAAACAGTTGCCAAACCTCAGGATACTTCCGTTCAGGATCAAATAGTTCAGCAGTTACTTTAAATTTCTGTTCATTCTGTGCGTTAAACACTTTGCAAATGATGAAACTGTTAAGCTCTCTGGAACATTAGCGATATAATACATCTGGTCCAGCGAACCATTTCTCTGGCTGAAGTTATCTTGCCTGAATTTTCAACTTTGCCAAAAGGAATATGAAAAAAAAACTTTTAGGAGGTGCATGCGATCAGTGTCTAAAAAATAAGACAGAAGTGACACTATGTCCAAAAACATCTGTGTTAGTTTCTGAACAGGAGTGTTTTTTTTTGTTCAAAAGGATCCTTCTATATTCATTGACGGTGGAGGCGGATTAATCTTGGGGCAGACTTTAAATGTCTCTGAGTTGTTTTCGCCATTCCCATCCGGTTGACGTGAGAGCTGTTGGCTTGGGCAAAAGCAAGAAGCCAGCGCAGCTCAAAATAGCCGATTGATAAAATCGAAAGTCACACACACAGAGACGGTCAGAAGACTCTAGTGGACAAAACACTGACGGTTTTACTGCAGTGATGAACAGGAAGACAGTACCGATAAAACTTTAACAACAGCTGTCCGCTATTTACTAAGGCCAACGACTGCAATGATTCAAATGTGTTTTTTGAAGGGTACATTTAAAGAGGGATTTCAAATATGAAAGTAAATTGTTCAGAGCACATTCTTATTACGAAAATGGGCTTTAATCACTGTGATTGCCGTCGGTAAAAAAATTGCAAAAGAAGACGTTATGAGAAGTTCTTAATGACGTGGTGTCCTTGGGAAATTGTTCCTGTAGTTGACCATTTGGGTCTCGTGTTTCTACTACCCACCGATCAGACCGCCTTGCCGAATTAAATGGGCTTTACAACAAAGGCCTGTGATGACTATACCTTCGGTCAAGTGATCAATCTCTTGTGACGCGTCTTCCGTTTTTCTCATGCATATAGGCTGACAACTCTTGTCTTTTTTCGGGGTTTGCATTCATGCGCCTAAGTGACATCCACCGATAATTTGTCATGTCGTGTTCATATTTTGAAGTTATTTTTTTCGAGAGCAGTCCTAGTAAAATTAAAAATGTTCTTAAAGGTCTTCACATGCGATCCTTGTTGTCTGTAAATGACATGTTAGTCAAAAATAGACGGCTGAGAATATTTCCCCATTTGTATGGATTTGTATGAAAAAGATATGTTTGAGGGTACTTCTGGAACTACTGAAATAGTAAAAAAAGGGTCAGCCGCTAGCCTGATTGCGGTGTTTTGCTACACAACGATCAAGAGATTGATGGGCCAGAATTATAAGCTGT